AAAAAAAAAACCCTCTAGCAACCCACCCTCAAAATACTCTAGCCCAGCCCCTTGACCTTGACTTTCTATTAATTAAATGAGACAGCGGTTACAATTCATCATTTAACTGACATAAGCTGACCATAACAACAGGATCGAGTAAAATGATTAAAATATATGAAGTAAATTAGGCATCAACAATAAAAAGTTATATAGTACAATAATGACAATATCAGTAAAGAGGGGAATGGGGAGAATGGAGTAAAAGGCAAACTCGAAGTACACAACATTACCATGTCCTTACAAGGCCTTGTAAGACATACAGTACATAACAGATAATATAGTGATAAGATAAGCCTACCATCTATCTGAAAGAATATTAAACTTATCAGCTACACCACTTATGATTTGACCCACTGATTAACACAATCAAAAAAGGTCCTAAAAACTCATGTGTTTAACCTGATTGTGCCTCTGGCTATATAGTATGATGTCTTCCAGTAAAGTGAAGGTTTCTATGTCACTCTGAGTAGCTGTTAATTTCATTACCCACCTGAGCCATGAAATGTGGCCATTGGGGGGGAGGGTAACTTTGGCATGGAAAAAAGGGGTTACGGTCAGTGACACAGACGGCCTTTCCATGCATACAGTACGTAGACACATGTTAATACACAACCACACAAATATACACACATTCACTGCATGCAGAGCTGCACTGGAGAAAAACAAACTACCATACAAATGCATACACACACTCTAAAGTACAGGTAAGTAATTCTGTATGGGAAAATATCTCATACAATCTAACTTTAGGCATACCCCTGCATATCGCCTGAGTCAGAAAATGGGCCTGAAGTACCCAAGCCAGTGACAGGGAGAAAGCCTTCAAATGTGAGGTGTGGACTCTTACAAATGACAAATAATACCCTAAGTTATGAATCCCCACCCCTCAACAACCATCACTCTCAAGGCACTACATGTAGGCGATACTGTGTAAAATTTACTTAGAGATGGCCTAAATTCAAACCTACGCTATAATCATGTCCTTTTCTGACTTCTCTTGTGTTCTCAGTGTCTTTGGCCTTCTATCGACCTTTTCTCTCCTAATTTCCATCATGGCACATTTGCTCCCCTGTTTTGAACTAGTCAACTTCAAATTATACCCATAACCTGCCCTGCTAACTTCTGGATTCGATTTCTTTTCTTTTGTATTTAAATTGATGCAAGAAAAGTGGCACACAACTTAAGAGTCCAAAAACCGTGGTGTGTGTGGTCTTTTGAATCATTTCAGATCTGCTCCACTTTGCTGGGGTAACTGGGTGATCGGAAATTGAGCATCTGCATAACTTTTCTTCCCCATTCCCCCACCCCCAAATATCCCCCCCTGTCAAATTTCAGTGGAAGCTGTCCTCTCTATCTGTGCTTAAGGACAGCCCCCTCTGCTCCCAGTGCCTATAACAGTAGGCAGGTGGACTTCCTGTTACGCTTCTTGGCCTGCAGCGCAGCTCTAGTTGCCATCTCAAAGACTTCCCTCACACCATCTTTGGTTTTGGCAGAACACTCTTGGTAGCCGTAGGCACTGATGCGGTTTGCCATCTCTTTGCCATCTTCATATTTGACTGGTTCCTGGGGACACATGTCACAAAGAAAGTTTACATTTGAATATTATTTTATTGACTTAACTTGTTTGTTTAGCTGAATTTTCTGAACCACCACATTTACCTGTTTCATTTTGGCTAGCTCTCGTCTGGTGTGGTCATCGTTGCGCAGATCTTTTTTATTTCCTACCAGGATGATGGGAACATTTGGACAAAAGTGCTTCACCTCAGGAGTCCATTTTTCTGGAATATTCTCTACAGTGAGGAGAATGAAAAAGCAATTAATTACATACATCAAGGTGTTCAATACTTACTAGTATGAATGGTGCTCAGATGGTACCTAAACTGTCAGGACTGTCCACAGAGAAGCACATGAGGATAACATCTGTGTCTGGGTAGGACAGGGGCCTCAGCCTGTCATAATCTTCCTGACCCGCTGTGTCCCAAAGTGCTAGCTCTACCTGAAAAGACAGAGAGTAACAGAGTTAAATGACTGGATAAATCTACGGAAGAAGAAAAGCAAAGGCAGAAATGACAATAATATAATTTGATTAGTTAGACAGACTAGATATGGTATAGCAGCAGCTAGTCTGATGGCCACGATGCAACATAATAAAAAAATCACTGGTTGTGATGAAGCATCCTGAGACAAGATATTGAAGAATGAGTTGCCCCGATGCACCGATTGAAGTGTGATAATGAATGTTAGATAAATATGTATGACTGAGTAAATGTCACTAGACTGGCAGAAATCACTTCAAATGCTCAAATTGAGTAGAAAGGTGCTAAGTACCAGCCCATTAGCAACTAATTAAAGAGGGTAATTGCTTTTTATTTAAATGCCATACAAGCACCCACAGCATTACAATCAATCAAAGTTATTTGCAAACCATGATTCCCTCTCACCTGTTTCGCGTCCACTTCAATGTCTGCCACATAGTTTTCAAACACCGTGGGTACGTAGACCTCTGGGAACTGGTCCTTACTGAACACGATGAGGAGACAGGTTTTCCCACACGCACCATCACCGACGATCACCAACTTCTTTCTGATAGCAGCCATCTACGGAAGAGTTGAAAACATTGTTGCACATCCTAAGACAATACTCCCCAGTTAAAAAGAAACAACTTTGAGCTGCATTAATAAATAAGCAGTCTAATCAGGACTAAAATTTCCCGATGCTTCGCTTACAGTTTCCCTTTGCTGACATCTAGCACAAAAATACATCAGAAATCGCTAGTAACGCACAGAGGTCTCGTTAACCGTACAGTTTGGCAAATAGTTCCTAGCTTACGTTACTATGTACATTTAAAGCCGGAACCGATGGCAAACAGGCGGAGGGGCCACTGAGGTGTAGAAACTATTACTCAAACATTTCCGTGCTACATTCCTATTCCTACTAAAAGCCCGACTACTCCAGTCTGGGGCCTGTCAAACCAGCCTTTGCTAGCAGGAAAGCTAGCGGTGTTTCCTATGAGTTTTATTATTGTCATTCAAAATCCTCTCTCTTAAATTATAACTACAATATTCATCCCATCACAGCCACATTTATGCGCCTGAAACAAGAATCGGCTTAAAGTTTATACGTTACATGGAGAATTTGATTACCTTGGTGTTTCTCTGTACGCCTTTCTCCTCTTCCTGACCGACTGGAAAACTCCGCCCACCGCTAGTACACATGCGCACTATTACGTCATTCGCAAGTAAAGACCGGGGAATAATACATTAGTGGCCGTTTGTTTATCTGTTTGTTAGCGAGATAACGCAAAAACAACCCAACTGAATTTTATGAAAGTTGACGGGGAGGTGGAGCATGAGCAAAAGAAGCATCTGTTGAAATCTGAGGCAAATCCATATTACTTTCAGCAAAATTGGGTATTTTGTTTGAAGGACATTGCTCTCTCTGAACTGTGCGAATTCATTCATTAAGTTAAGGTACTGAATGTCAACCTATGGTGATCATAACCAACATAGGTGATCAGTGTGTTTATAGTTTGAATACACACAAAATGGGTGTGTATATATGAATGCATTTGTACATATGCACCATTCAGTCTGGTTAGTCTCCCCAGCTGACTAACCATTCTCATCCTATTTGAACTTGTGTTTTAAATCCTATTTCTCCAGCAGCACTCAGTTTATTAATAACAAAATGTATAAATCCCATTTACTACTGGTGTCCCCCAAGAATCTGTCCTGGTACCCCTTCATAAATTTAATATCAGCTTCCATTGTTATGCTGATTGTATGCAACTCTACCTGTCTAACAAATCTACCATTACACTCCCACCCACAGCCTTCTGCATTTGACTCAAATCAAAAATCAAATCCTGGATCTCCTTTTTTTCTCCTTTTTTCAAATTAAACATTAATAAAACTGAGGTTCTCCTCATTGGCAACAAATCCATCATGTCTAAATGTAATTTTTTACCCTCCCTCTTGACTCAGGCCAAGAGTATAACATCCTCATCCTTTCATCTTTGTAACATCAGTCACCTTGGTCCATTTCTCACACCTGATAACACTGCGGTACTTGTTCACACCTTGGTTACGTCCTACATTAATTACTGTAACGATTTTCTTTTTGTTTTTTCTTGCAAGTCTAGAAGTCTGCTGCTCACACCATCACCAGAACTCCTTCCATTAATCACATCACACCTGCTCTTCAGCAGCTCCACTTAAAAATCGTACTGATTTCAAGATTATTTACCTCTCTGAACTTTTGCTCATCAGCAAAACAATTCACACTCTTCTTCTTCCCTCCTTCTTACTGTCCATTCCCCGCCTTTGACTACCATGGGGTCCAGAGGCCTCAGCACTCTCCTCGCCACCTTTGGAACTCCATCCCACCAGACACGCTTCTTTAAAAGTGGCATATTCACTCCTTCCACGTCTAATATGAATCCTCTGATCTCAACAATTCTGCATATTGTAGATTTTGTTTTATTAACTTGAGGGGTCAGTTTATTATTATAGTTTTAACTCTTCTGTGTGAGATGACCTCGAGTGTTTTGACAGGCACCTGAAATAAAATGCGTTATTATTCACTGAACATTTTCATGATCGCTGCATAACTTTTTACATTTGATAAAAAGTAGATTGACATTTGAAAAAGGTTGATTTTATTTAGAGATTTCTGCAGGGCTTTTATTTATGTATTTTCACTTACAAAAATCCACAAACTCTGTAATTTCACCCAAGGGAACAAGTCTGTTGCATATATTTGTATGTCCCAAAAAAAATGTTGCACAATATCATAACAAGCATGAGTCGTGATTGTATTACATTAAGAGCTCTGCATCATTCTAAGCACGTCACTCGCTCATGCCTGAGAACGAGGGCACAGAGACTCTTAAGGCTATGGTCTGTCTGAGCTGTGTTAGTGAGACACTTGAAAAGCATCTCTACGGTTTTTAGGGGAGGACCACGTCTTCAAGCCCTGTTAGACTGAGCATGGCCGCTCTCCTCCTCCTCAGTTCATTTGAGGGTAAGCTCAGAGAGTATGAGAAGTTTGCAGATGTCAGAGCACAATACTGCTGTCTATTCGTTTCTATGGACACTGGAGGTAAAGTTGCTCTGATTGGCTGCTTGGCTCAGCCAGTCTATTTCCTGACGGTGGCGGTGCTGTTGCTGCGCTGGTAGAACAGCACATAGGCTTGATTGGTCTGAAGCTGGTTCTCTGTGAGTGGAGTCACGCTGTCAGTGGGCAGATGAAGGGAAAAGTTTCAGGTTTATGCAAACATATCTTAATACAGAATAAGCAGGGTTTCTCAAATATATAGACCACCTTTGATGTACAGTTGTCAAAATATGTATATGTTGTGTGTAAAACTAAACGATATCTCACCTGGAATCATTGTAAAAGCACCAGCCATTTTCATCTAAGCAGCAGGCTGTGTAATGTCCCATGTTTACTGTCCCAGCATGGTTACATATTGCATATAAATCATACAGAACTGAGCCTGTGGGGACAAACATAGATCCAGAATTATACAGTAACATAAATACAATGAGTTGCTTAATCCAGGGTTCAGAACTGTAATGTGTCAGAATTCCAGATGTGCAGTTTATGGAATAATCTCCGTTGCAAGCAATTAAATTAGGATATGATTGCGTATATCCCAATATTGCTTTATTTTCTCTTACAATGCATGGTTTGAGTCAGTGAGTCATCATGTTAACCTCCCGATGCTTAAAACAATAGATTCATAGTTCACAGCTAAAAACGTTTTTTTAGCTGTGAACTATGATTTATATATTTATATTTTTTATATTTATATTTATATAAATATAAATATAAAAAACATATTTTTTTATATTTTATATATTTATATAAATATAAATATATAAAATATATATTTTATATTTTTATATATATTTATATATTATTTATATTTATATATTTTTTACCCCTCTCTCACCTGCCATTTGTCAAAATAAAATCATGTAAAACAAGCTCTTAAAACGCTTTTGTAGTGCGCTCTACCCACTTGTGTCAAAAAGTTAAAAGCCCAAGTTTTCTTCCACATTTTATTGCTTCAACCTTTAGCTCCTTTTGTTGAAACGACAGCACAGAGGAACACGTCGGGTTGAGTCAAGCATGAATGGATCAGATGGGCTCGGTTCTCTTACCACAGTCGACGGGTCCGTATGGTCCGAGGTCCAGGTGGGTGAGTGGGAAGGACACATATATGGTGCTTTTACTGATGGACCACCTCGACGTCGTGAAACGGTTCAGATCTTATTGAGACTGTTAAGTATTATTAGCGTCACACATCTGTGCAGATTAAAATCACACGCCTAAAAGCATCACAAGTGGAAGAGTTGTTGCCAAGGATACGGATCACTATAACCTGGGGAAACCTCTGGATAGACAGCCGCTTGGTGCACTCTGTACGCCTGTTACACCTCTCGCACATCTGAAGGATGCATAAACACACATATACACACCTCAACACAACATACCGTACACATGTACACAGGGTTCGGCGTATATATAAGTACAAAGGAGCGTATGCTTGTTGATGCCATGTTGTTTAGTGTGCCACTAAGAACTCAGATGAAATTCGAGAATTCTCATCATCTGCTTCACTGTTTATGAAATTAAATGTTTTTTTTGTTTCTTTTTTCTGCGTCTGCTTCCTGTGCCAGATGATTGCGTTTCTTTGAAATGTTGTCATGTTGATGAGATCGCTGTATTAGTCGTTTGGAGTCTAGCAGTTTACCCAACTCCCCGGTTTGATCCCGGGAGGGGACACAAATCCCTTTGGGCTCGTGACAGGAAGTGTAAAAACATCTGCCACATCTGGAGCTACCTGCTGTTATTACCCCCCATGTAAATAAGAGAGCAGGGAAAGTAGCTTTACTGTTCAAGCCATTTGACTTCTTTCACACATCTATGTGTTATGATCTTTATATGGAATAAAGACAAAAAATGTAATGATATGTGTAGGTTATAAATGGATCAAAACTGTTAAATCATCTCCTTGCTTACAGTGTCTGTGTCGACATGTTTTAATCACACTATTGCTGATCCGGACAGTTGCTGAGATTCGACAATCATTGCTTTAACTTACTGGCGAATTCTCCTTGTCCAGTTTCTCCTCCTGGGAGAAGAGGTCCAGACACTCCCTGAGCGTGACCTCCCCAGTGGAACTCCTCTTGGGGATGGGCAGTGACAAATCGCAGAACACATCGAACGTGTTGGAGTAGTGCGAGCAGACGGAGCAGTGCAGCGAGCTCCGCAGCTGGCCCGAGAACAGATCTGTAGGGAGGGGGGACCAGAATCATCGGCTGTCTGCTTTAACGGGGATAAAAATAATGGATGAATTTGACTGGACCGGCTCCTCACCAACAATTATGCTGTCATCTCTCTCCAAGTGCTTCTTCCACATGACAGCCGCCTCCTCAGATATTCTAAGAGAGGATAAGAAAACGATCAGAATGTGCTCACATGCAGGTAATTAAGGACAGATTCATTCATTTTAACATACACACCGAAACCTAGCAAATTTTTGTTCAGGCTCCTTCCCGGCTCGTCTCACGTATGGTCTGCGATTTATTTCGGTGTGCAGCTTGTCGAGTAGGAACCTGAGGAACTCCTGAGCATCCTGTTGACTGTGGTGAACGCAGAAAAAGTTATTCACTTTTTCAAGCAACTAGTTCTTCACAAGAATCAAAAATCAGTGGAACAAGAGAAGGAGTTTAACAGTTTACACATAAGTGGTAAAAAAGTATCCTCACCTGTAACCACTGAAGTAAGGCACTGCTTCTGTGAATACATTGTAAAACTGTCTGGGATTTACAACTTTGTCTCCTTCATTTACATCCCAAAGGCCCGACAGCACCTTAGAGAAAGCTGGGATGGCAGGAAAAACAGAAACAAGAAGAAAACATGAAAATCTAACAGGGAGGAGAGACAGTGAAGAGAGAGCAGGAAGGAGAGGAAATGCACCTTCCATGAGTTTAGCTTCCTCTTTGGAGAACTTCT